AGACACATCATATTGCTCTCTGTTATACGCGAAGTCGAGAGTAGCCCCTCTGAAATCAGTGTCAATACCGCGACTGGAACTATCGGCAGCCATGTTGGGGACAAGGTTATATAAAGATTTAACTGAAGGAGCTCACATGAGTTTCGATAAATTTGTGTTTTGGACTGACTCTACGACGGTTTTGTACTACATAAATGACTCATCTAAAAGATTCGGCAGTTTATTGCCAACCGGCTGTCGGTCATACAGGAATTAACTGAGCCCAGTCAGTGGAAGCATATCAAAACAGAATGCAATCCGGCAGACCTGCTGTCTATAGGCACTACATCCGCAACATCCTTGAAGTGCTGGTTTCTTGTCCCAGAATTCCTACTGAGTGTCGAGGATGAGTGGCCTGAGTTTTGTCCGAGTTCTGAGCCAGCCAACTTAGAATTGAAACGTTCCACCGCACAGGTTTGTGCGACATCAAGTGCAACACCATTATCGCTCCTTATCAGCAGATATTCCGACTGGACTAAGTTGCTAAAACTGGTGGTGTGGTTATCACGATTCAAGCAGCAGCTTTACGTCCGCAGACAGGGAGCTGCTGAGGCCGCGCAACCCAATAGACTAATTACCCTGTCTGAACTCAGCCGAGCAGAGTGTGATGTTATCCGGCTTGCGCAACTCGAAGCTTATGGAACAGAGTTGGAACGGTTTGAACAGGCGAATGCAGACCCAACAGCGTCTAAGATGGAGATACGGCGAGGTCCTTTGGCCCGTCTCAACCCCGTACTGCGCGGTGGCCTCCTTTGTGTTGGTGGCCGGCTGGCTTATTCGGAGTACGACGCTGCATTCAAGTTCCCGGTTATCCTGCCACCTAAACACGCTGTTACTGAAGTTTTGATCCGATTTTATCATTCGACGAAAGGTCACTCGGGAGTTTCTCAAGTCCTGGCGAGCTTGCGCCGTAAATATTGGATCGTTCGCGGGATGTCGGCAGTGAAACGGTTGATAGGGGCTTGTTGGGTATGCAAGAAACGGCTTGCTACCACCGGTGAGCAGCTGATGGCGCCATTGCCGTTAGCTCGGGTGGAACGTGGGTGGCACCCATTCAAATCGTCGGCGTGGATTACTTTGGCCTATTTCTTGTTAAACACGGGCGAAAGCAGGAAAAGCCGTACGGGTGTCTATTTATCTGTCTACAAGCGAGAGCCGTACATCTTGAGATTTCCCATACCTTAACTACCGACTCGTTCATTATGGCCTTGATGCGATTTGTCTCCCGTAGAGGGACTCCGGTCGAAATATTCAGCGACAACGGCAGCAACTTCGTAGGCGTCGTATCAGAGTTGCGTACTGCTGTCAAGGGGTGGTCCCAAGCAAGGATCAGTGATAGACTCCTTAGCATGGGAGTCCAATGGCACTAAAACCCTCCAATGTCCAGCCATAGGGGGGTATATGGGAGCGCATGATCAGGTCTGTTAGGAGGGTGCTGTTATCGATTGCGACACAACAGACGCTTAATGAGGAAGCGCTCAGTACTCTGATTGTTGAAGCGGAGCGCATCATCAACAGCAAGCCGTTAGTACCTTTGACATCGGACCCAAACGACCGTATGGCCCTTAACCCAACGATTTACTGATACTGCGACCTAATGCATCGCATTTCCTTGCGGGTTCTCTAACCGAAGAATATAGACGCTGTTGGCGGCAAGTCAATTACCTGACGGCGTTGTTTTGGAAAAGACGGGTCGCAGAGTACTTGCCCTTGTTACACTCCAGACAAAAGTGGCTGCGAAGGATTCGAAACCTCAGACCTGGGGATGTAGTTTTGGTCTCTTCCGAAACCGGTACACGTGGCACGTGGCCCATGGGGATTGTCGACTACTGTATAGATTCTGAAGACGAGCTTGTCAGGACTGCAGTTGTTAGGACCAAGAATGGGCTGCTCACAAGGGGTATACGAAAGTTGTGTTTGCTAGAAGGGAGCGACACGAGTGGGATGTAGTTTCGGCTATTGGCTCTCCGCAGGCGGGAGGCGGGTCTTCGGGTCTGCTGCACCAGGGTGGACCGCTGTGAGTCCAATAGCCGAAGTGGGGGCCTCTGGCGTACCGGTGTAAGTCGTTTGGCCCCCTAGCGTGGATGGAGCCGGCGTAGGGCGTTCCAGCGCAGAAACATCCGACACCTTCAATGGAAAATCCGGATCGGATTTTGGTGGGCAGTGTAAAAAGAACTCAGACCACCTCAGTCTCTCCCATGTTGAATGCCCAGTTCTACATTGCTCGGCCGTCTGGATCGATTATGTTTGCTAACTCCCTTACTTTCCATTCCTTTGTTCTCTGCCCCGATGCTCTTAGCGATTGACCCCGGTGACTCATCTTAACTTCACCCCGCCCCCATGGACCTGTCATCGTTCTCTTGACATAAGCGATTTTGCGTTCCCACAACTCATGTATCCAGTGTGACAGGTCTGTCTGTCCGCAGCCCGTTCCCGTTGGCGGACGCTTACGATTGGCTCAATTGCCTTATCATAACTTCGGTCTCACCTCTATGTCTACTTGTTTCGTGTGCACCTTGGCTTACGGATCTTTGGTGGAACTGATTGCAATCTGTTGGTAAACTTTGTGTTTGGAAAACCGTTAAGGTAATTTCTACTTTGGTACGATGAATTTGTACAAATAGCACCGTTTTCTCAGGTCCGGATCTGGTCTTTTGTTGAATTTTCCGGTGAAGAACGCGTAGCTTAAATTTCGAAACGCCTTGTAGCGTTACTAATGTATCATCAACGCACAAGGATACGTAAATAATAGTACTGTCGTTCGTATTCACTATGTGGTGCATTCCCTAGCTCGCACCCTTGATCCTTTGGTTCATTGTGAATATGTTTTGCATTTACGAAACGACCGACAATCGCCTACACGGCAAACAGAACACAGTGTCTTCTTTAGCGAGGTGTGCAGTTTTGTCATTATTTCGGTTGCACCACTTGACCGAAGTTTAACCCAACCAGCGGTGGACAAGTTGACTGCAAATAGACGTCTGCAAGATCAACAGTAGCAAAATACTTTCCTCTCTTCAGTTTTGCAAACACGTCCTCAGGGAGTGGAAGCGGATACAGACCCGTTAAAAAATTACTCAGGCATTCAGGTCCGTTGAAAAATCTGCACAAAAAGGAACAGAACCGTTTGGCTTCCTGAGCACAACAATGGGCGCAGCCCACGGTGAAAAATTGACTCGCTTGATCAGTCCGGCCCGCTTCAATCGATCAAGTTGCTGTTCAACAAGTGCTTGGGAAGCATAAGGGACAAAACGTCTGGGTCGAAACACTGGTCTGGCATCCGGAAGCAGAGTTAATTTTGCCTGCATTTTCTCACAGTGTCCATGTTCCGACTGGAATACACACGCATACTTCGTTTGAAGCTGTTCAGAGATGCTTTGACCTGGAGGAGTTGGTATGGCTGTATAGTGCACCGTGACATTCTTTTCAGCACAGACACGATTCAGTGGTACATTAAACAAGTTCAGATTTTCACTCCAGTCGATTCCGAGAAGATTGACGTCGGTGCATGAGACTAGGTAGATTGTGCCGCGGAGTTGTAGTTCCTTGAAGTTGAGCTCATATTCATTCTCTCCATCCAATCTCAGCGGTTCCCCGGATGCATTCTGAGCCGTCAGAGTTGTGCGCTTGAATGCTGGTCTTCCAAGCTACCTCCAAGTGAATCGCGAAATGATTGTGATGTCGGACGCAGTATCTAGTTGCAAGGTGACTGGAATACCATTGAATTTTACTGTTAAATACTTTCTCTTGCCTGCGAATTTCGTGCGAAAGGCAGCGAGAACTACCTTTGTGGCCGGTCCATGAAATTTCGCCCTTTTGAAGTTGATGTTTGTGCGCAATCTCGAGGGAAATGAACGTCTGAAGTTGTGCGCAACTCGACAGTGGGTTTCCTTATGACCAAACCGCTTGTACTTGTGACTTTGATGCCCTTTGTAGATACAGTCTCTCACAAAATGCCAAGCGCCACAATTCCAGCATGCGGTCGGGGGCCTCTGAGTTGACCGATTCTGGTTCATCACTTTACCACGGATAGCTGTGCGACAAATCTGGGGTTCTGTCCTGTGGTCAGCAGTTTCAATCATTTTTGTGTCGTGCTTCAAGTTAATCAGTCTCTGGCATTCGGCTGTGATCTCTTGCAGCGTCAACTGTGGTTCTTGTTCGAGCTTGTGGAGAATACGTGTTCGAATATCGGCATCTGCCTGGGACTGGAGACTGCACACGAAAGTAAGACTCTTGAATTGAAGGAGTGCAGTTCCTCGATATTATTGACGCCTACATTAAATGGCCGGAGGTAATCACTATGCAAAACACGTCGGCAAACAGCACAATTATTGCGATGAGACATGTCTTCAGTCAGCACGGATTGCCAGTAACAGTCGTGTCAGATAACGGGGCACAGTTTACGTCCTGTCAATTTGCTGCATTTTGTGCACAGAATGGGATGGAGCGTGTGAGCACGGCCGCGTATCATCCGCAGTCAAATGGCCAAGCGGAAAGATTTGTGGATACCCTGAAACGAGCATTGTGGAAGTCAAAATAGAAGGGATCGTTGAACGAAAGACTGGAACGTTTCCTGTTGAAATATAAAGTTACCCCGAATCCTAATGCACCAGATGGCAAATCACCAGCTGAAGCACTTATGGGTCGAAGATTGAGACCCACACAAGATTTGCTGACCCGCAAGCGCCCGTCTCCACAACTACGGAATTCAGTGAGAGAGCGTCAGTACAACAAGCGGTATGGTGCATGTAAAAGGATTTTCAAAGTGGGCGATCTTGTGCTTGCAGCTGCGAATCAATGACGGCGGATCGCATGGATACCAGGATGAGTCCTGCGGCGCCGAGGCAACGTGATGTATGATGTTCAAGTGGGTACACAGGTGTGGAGACGCCACGTAAATCAGTTGAGGTCACGTTATACACACGGTGCCCTCGTTCCGAAAGCCAAAGGACTTGACGCCAATGAATTGCTGGACACCGGCAAGCCAAGAACTACTGCAGGTGGTGACGTTCGTCCAGTGGAATGCATGGAAATTGAGCTCGCCACAGGCCAAAGAGAACAAGAAGATTCGTGCAGCCTCTCCAAGTGGATCCGCGTCAAAAGAGCTATGTGAACCCCAGGTAACCAGTATTTTAAAAGAGGGAGGTAGTATTTGGAGAACAGCTAGTAGAGATTCATTTATTGTGACCGAGCTTGATAGCTATTTTTACTCTTCCTTTTTTCTGTTTCTTGACTGTTGTTCAAACGCTCTACTAGGCTCGCCCGATTGGTACATCCGCGTCATTGTTAATGGACGCTCATCCTCATGCCCTTCTCATCTTCGCTGTTTGCAAGAACATATTCTATTGGCTTTTTTCTTCTCATCACTGTTCTACTCGGTTATGTTAAAGGAATATTTAGTGTCACACCATTATTGTACTAGTTTGCAAGTTTTGGGTGTGCATTCCTTATTCGTGGTTTGTTTCGTGACTTTTGTTTAAACGTTTCATTTCGTCATTCTGATTGCCCAGTTCCCGTCACTGTAAATGGTCGTTCGCTTTACGGTTGGGGTCCAATGATGCTATTGTAAGGACCTACGCGATTCGCTCTTACGTACACGGTTGCTTATTCGCCGTTGCACTTTAAGTTTTTCCTTCTGTTGGTTGGCTCAAGCGTATTTTAGTAGCTTCCCTTCATTTTGCTTTCAAACTATATAAGCAACTGTGATTTCATGTCTACAAGTCTCCTTCTGTCTCGTCTTTTGACTTCCTCTTGTGGTCGTGGGGTGAAGGCGTGAGCGGCGACACAACAGGCCCTTTGGGTGTTTCTTTGTTTATCAATGCCGATTCCATGATGATAGCATTCCAGTCCATGGAGGTAATAAGGAGGTTCCATCTGTATTGATTATACTTCTAATGGTGCCATATGGAGAGCAAGTTGTCAAAGCGTCCCGACACCTATGGGCGACCATATGGAAGTGAAGCCTAATTATCCTATGAATACATACATTCCGCATCTTTTCCATGACCTTTAAATCACGCCATACGGGGAGACATTGAAGTGCTAACTGATTATCAAATTCGTCCATGGGTGTGGAGACAAACGAACACTCACTAACGTTGCGTCACCGCCACACTTGGAATCCTCCTACTTTGAACAAGGTCCTAAGATCCAGTGATGCGCTTATCCAGCCAGGGAACTTGCAATCTTCGCACAACACAACCACTACGTTAGCGATACGTAGCTACATAATTCACATCAGCGTACTGCGCACTGGAAGATCATAACAGGCAGGCTCTGTAACTTGAACGGCTGCAAAATTGCCATTTGTACGCAAGCTCTACGCTCATCTCTAATCTGGTTCGCAACAATTGTACCATTCCCCGCCGCAATTAACTACTATTGTTGGAATGAGGTTCTTGACTAAGCGTTGCTTGTCCGGTACTGTAACTTAGCGAAGGCATCCACGAAGTCCTGTTACATGACCTCTGGGCCGCCGCGCACCTACTTGGCACGCAACCTTCAGCGACGTACTGTGGCCTACGCGACCGCACGAATAGATTTACGCCGTTTGCAACACCCTTCACTTACCCGCTCTTAACCATCCGCTTCCCCATGATTTAGGACTTCACGTAACCAAGAACAGTAACAACGGTGACAAAACTTCTGCGGCTACTAAAGTACTCTATGCTGCAGTGCATGTAACGGACCTTATCCCCTCCCGCCTATGGAGAAAAAGTGGATCGTTATGTACACAAGTGTTGGGTGTAAACGGCTGCAAAATATGAATCGGCCAAAGGTATCACCCGCTCATATTTTTCGCCACACGTCTTACCATCTGCTCGCAGTGGTGTCGCGTAATTCAACCTCTCGCTTCAAGCAACATCCGTTCGAGAAATCGTGTGCACCAATCGCCAGTGAAAACAACCACTTATAGATCCCCTCTAAGCATTTCCGAATACCTCCGCCTCATGGCGTCTTTCACATACGTCTTCATAACACTCCACACGCTTTCGATAGGGTTTAGCGAATGAGAGTACGACGCTAGTCGTAGTAGCATTCCTGCTCAATACCCTTCCTCCTTGAAAACATCCTGCACATCTGTGTGTCACGGTGCGTTGTCACAAATCAGAACACACCGATCAATAAAAGCGGCTGCTGGGTAATCCAGAAGTTTTCAAACCAACTGCGAACATCTCCGCTTGTTGAAGTTGCCAGAGAAAACGGAAAAGGCTACCAGTCCCTCGCTCGTCATTCTACTCACAACGTGCACATCCTGCCCGCGGCTGTTCACCACCGTGCATTGTGTTCGAGTTCCCCTCCGTGAACGACCGTTGGTGCGACCACAAAATAGATTGAAATTGGTCTCATCATTCCAAACGGGCTGTCTCCCTTCTGCTTGCAACCGTAGCAGCCGCAACACAAACAGCCTCTTCATATTTTTTCGCCGAAGTTTGCATGGATTCTGGGATCGTGTGCAACTTATTTAATGCGATAACACGACCTTCAATGTATTTGGGAACTGTAGTGATGCTAACTGCAACGTCGAAATCATCCTTCAACTCTCTCTTTTATTTCATCGAGCTGATTTTAGAAGAGTCTATCTTTTCGCACCTATAGTTTTCCGGTGTTGACAATATTCCCCCACAAATACTTCCGGTGGCAAATACGCAGGTCTATGATCCATTTGCTTTATTTTTCTATGGGTGCATAGATGAACTGCAGCCCCTAACTTGTGGAAGTAAGGCATTATCACCGAAATGTTCAGTATTCAAAGGTTGTAGCAGTTCGGAGCCCGTCAAGTATCGCCTAATGTTTCTCCTCCAACTGCTCTCAAAGTCATTAGAGTCAAACATAGCTGAGGCGCTAATGGGCTACTTCGAAAGTCTAACATCATAGCACCGGAGCAACACGGATTCCGTCAGCAACCGTCATGTACTACCAACCTGCAGATTGCTTGTGGCAGTTGGATCGAAATAGCCGACGTTGGAATCGGCACTGTTGTCATCTTCCTCGGATTTTCTAAAGCCTTCGATTGCTTAGATCACGGATATTGGGGACCCGGTCCTTGGATAGATCGGAAATTTTCTCTTTCAACGGCGGCTTCAGGTTCGGGTTAGGGGTATATTTTCTGATCGTATCGACGTGAACTGCTGTGTCCTGCAGCGGTCTATGGTAGGACCGCGCCTATTCCTAGTCTTCATCAACGACTTCATGCATGTCATGTAGTCCAAGTTACAGCTTTTTGCCGAAGACCTCAAGACATGGCGGGCAATCGGTTGTCAGGAGGATCACGCTGGACTGCAGAATGCCTTAGACCGTGCCTTTGAATCGTCAAAGAAAAATCTACTTCCGTTTAACGCGGACAAGTGCATGACTGTACAGCTACGCCACAAGATCGCTACTGCATATAAGCTCGGAGAACACATGCTAAAAACCGCCTAACAAGAGCGCGATCTTGGGGTGGTGTTGCAAAATGGCCTCGGCTGTTCGGCACAGACTTTTAAGGTGTGTACTAGCGCCAAGCAACACGTTGGTCTCTTCCAGATGGAGTTCGGCTGGTTCGACCCCTCCATATCCCCCCAAATGCTCAATGCGTTCGTGAGGCTCCATATGGAGTAGGCGATTCAAGTCTGGCAACCCTTTTTAAAACACGACCTGGTTGCCCTGGATACAGCACAGCGAAGGGAAACCAAAAAATATGAAACGAATTCTCCACCTGCCGTACCACCTGCAACTAGAAACTTTGGGAGTGTACGGCAGAGGTTATCACCGTCCAAGGGGCAACCACGTTCTGGCGTTCCAGATCATGAAAAATCCTGCTGATGTTTGCCATCACCTTCCGCATCATATCCGCAACACAAAATTGAGGGGTCACCGGCTGAAACTGGCTGCACGATACGGTCGGCTGGAATGTCGCCGGAACTATTTTTCTCTTCGAAGTTGTCACCCTTGGAACGCCCTTCTGACTTTTGTCATTTCTGCAACTACGCTACCCGATGCACTAAAACATTGGCATTACCTGATCTGATTTCTGTTCACATAGTATCAATAGGACGCAGAAAACATTATGTTCTCCAGCCTTCCCAAAATCGGTGTAAACGGATATATATGGGTGTGTAAACGGGTACACATGTGTGTTCCAGAAGATGACTTACAATGGATTTACATGGTGAGTCCACTAGATATGCTGATAATTTTGCTATATTTGTATTTTTACTATGATCGTCCTGCGGGACCTATTAAGCTACAGTATTTTTATCCGCATAAAACCATTGTTCTATTTTTCCAGTATACCTTGGTATAGTACTGGAAGTTCTGCCAGTTGACCAACTGACAAAACTTGACTAAGTGAATGAGGTGACTCTCCTTAGGTCTGACCCAGGGGTTAGGTAAGAAAACTGCTTAGAGTGATGCGTAAAGCTGCACGCCTCGGAATGTTATTAGCTGCTTTAAAGTGCAAGTATAGTTTTAGCATTGGTTTGAGAAGCCACCTGTGTTGTCTGTCCGTATAAAGAGGGAACTTCAGAGGCCATCCAAAGGGTATTAAACAAAAAATAAGGGTGTTAACAGAAGGGTCAAACGGTACGTTCGACACTGATGTATTTGAGGGACTCATTCTCCGCATATAGGAGGACTAATTGCGTCTACAAAATTAGCTGCAAGGATTGTGCACAGGTGTACATAAGCCAGACCGCTAGAGAACTATTCACGAGGTTAGTAGAACACAATCGATACATGTAAGTGCTAAAGCGGGAAGAGCTTGAATGCATGGCGCTAGTGAAAGATTCAGTAGTGGCGATCCACTCGTTAGACCCAAGTCATAAAATCGACTTGGAAAACGTCGAAATCTTTAAGATGTGCTTGTGATCCACACCCATAAGTTGAGTGCTGAGGCGTCGGAAATTGCTAATGCCAGCAGCTGTGTAGACACTGAATAGAGTGGGGTTATCAAAGGTTTGACCGGCCGTCTGAATCCGGACAATCTGAGGGGCGTTGCCGGACGGATCTGGGGCAGAGTGCAAACATAAAACCACTCCTTCGCCCATAGCAAGCAAAGGGTTACGTGTGATGACCTCGTACGATGAACCATCTTGGATCTTACCATCTTTAATGTGCCACTTAAAAGGTCACTTTGACATGTAACTTCATTAACATCCTACTTGCATCTCACTAAAGGCGATTATTGGCTCTATTTGCCATTATAGCCGTAGTAGTCACTTGCCAGATCACTTAACATAAAGCTTTCGTGTCAGAAGCAAAACGTTGGCTTCTACATACACTATGGACTACTTTGTTTTGTTTTGTTTTCTTCGCACGGGAATAGTACTTTCCGTTGTTTTCCATAGCTACGGCATCTTTGCGGGAGAAGATGGTGGTGCGAAAGGTAGCTAGAGCTATCGGCGGACTAGGATGGACAATTTCGTCACGGGTAGTGCCTTCGAAAACCTAGGGTAGAACACACCAGACGATTGGGATATTTACCACAACCCCA